TATGATTTTAATAGTAAAAAATACTATATTTAAATTCCACTCGGCCGCCGTCGTCTCACGTAGCCCACATACACAAATAAAATAACAACAGCAMCARCAAAAGAGACAACAACAATGATATAAATTACAGAGGAGGGGCAGATATAAAAAAACGTGCCACGTCAATGAAATCAGAAAAGAAATTTCTAAATTAAATTTCGCGCAGATAAGCAAAGAACAGGGTGGGAAAAAAGAATGAAACAAAGAATGACATACAATAAAATGAAAATAATAAATTTTCCAAGTGAAGCGCAGCAAAGTGGCAGAGTGTCAAGAAAGAACGCATATATACATATCTAGCTACATGGCAACGGTAAAGAGAGAACGGGAGGCACCATCAAAAATATGCATATACATATATATGAAAAATAAAATATATAGTCATATGTATCAATATATATTTCTCAAAGGCAAAGTGGAGKAGTGTCCATAAAAACAAATGGCAAACAATAACAACAACAACAACTTTATCTACAACTAAATTACAACAAGGCGAGTGTGTGGCATGAGTGAGGTGAAGTGAAGAGAAGAAGAAAGAGAGACAAAGAAATTTTATTAACACACACACACACACATAAGTCCTCAGATATGTCACCTGTGTGCATACATATCTACATATATACATATATACAGATAGCACCTCGTTTCCACCAACGTGCAATCATCGTCGTCAAACAAATAGGCTAATTCGACATGCCACTCACTCAAAGGGACGACGACAATGACAACAACAACGACAACAACAACAAAGAGACAACGACGACTAACAGCATCCGTCATTTGTAATTACTTTGTTGATGACAGCCGSTGATGACGTACTAATATGGCAAGAGGGTGGAGGCTGAAAATCTTCACTGACAGATATATAAAGTATGAGTAAACAAATAGTGGGTAGTGGAAAGAATGGCATACAAGTGTGTATGTGCAAGTTTTTAATTTTACAATTTTTTATAGTGAGCGGGAGTTTTTACCTAGCTGGTAGATACAGGGTTGTGTCTGCTAATTATTATGATAATTTTTAATAATTCGTTATTCGTTTAAGGGATACAAAGCAGAAATTACAAATCAGATCGATTGATAGTAAAATTCAAACATGTTTGGTCAAGTTGGAGACCAAATGTTTCTTCTTCTTTTTTACCGGCGAAGACACCGGTTATAGCCGAGTTAAYARCAGCGCGCCASTCGTTTCTTCTTTTCGCAATTTAGCACCAATTAGAGATCCYAAGTGCAGCTAGGTCCTTCTCCACCTGATCTCTCCAATGGAGTGGAGRTCTTCCTCTTCCTCTGCTTCCWCCKGYGGGTACTGCGTCGAATACTTTCAGAGCTGGAGTGTTTTYATCTATACGGGTGAAGGATGGAGTSATGTGTAGAAGTTCCCTCCAGTGAGGAAAGTTCTATGAGCGCCATTCACTCGGGAGTGGCCAGAACTGATTCCTTTACATATGGCCCAAGCACGTCATRACTTCCCGTCTTTGAAAAGTATTCTCTAGGTAGCCAAAAAAAAAGATCCGTTTGAAGGGAGCTAAAGTTAGAAGGCGAAGTTTGGAACGCGCCACGATAAGAACAAAACCAATGGAAAGAAGAGAACAGCTTCGGCCGAAATGTGTCACTTCATTTCATTATCAAAACGTGACACGAAATAAGGAACCGAAGACTTCGGTTGCAWCGAAACCATAATAATCTTCACAGGTGTATGTCTTAGCATGAAAGAGTACACAGATATTATTAYTTTCATTGCTCGGAGATTACACCCYTATTTTCGGCCATAACCCACGACAAATTTCATGGAAATATTTTGTTAAATTAGAAGTTTGGTTTTGCTATATTGATCCAACCAGAAAAAAATGTGTACGGATATTATAACGTTATCTTAAAGATAATTTCTCAAATGAAAAGGTTTTCCTCATAATGACTTTATTTTGATTGATCAGTTTGTTTGCAACTATATCCTATAGTGATCCGATATAAGTTCCGACAAATGTGCAGCTTCTTGGTACAGAGAGATAATATATGAGACGTTTTCTTCTGGATGTTACCCTGTTCATATAAACCTATTAAAAACTTAATTTTTCAGACTGGATTATCCTGTTCACGATAGTCGTATATTTGCATAGGAACACCCTTATAGATCAGTCATCRGAAATTAGGCTCAACGAAAGGACATACAAAATGCATCAAAAAATAAGCGCCAAAGAATGTTCTTTCGAATKATAATAAACATAGCTCATTTTAAGTTTTTGTGGGTTTTCTATAAAAAACAAAAAGTAGGGAACCTTTGCTATCGCATAGYGGCATATATAATTTTTTTCTAAGGGTAAAAATTAAATATTTAATATTTCAAGATTCAAATGCCAAGATTCAAAGTTATTTTCTGATATATGGAAAAACATTTTTGGTATCCAATAAGTAGAACAATATAATCTGAATTTTCTTTATTTTTTAAATTGTAGTATACTTAAGCTACTTTGTATATTTCTCCATAAGTTTTTTTTTTTCAATATTTCTTCATCTCAATTTCCATTTCCATCCGAATTCCTGTAAAACTCCACTAGAAGTTTATAAAAAAAAGGCTAGAAGTTCTCGCATCTGTGAGCATACAGAAGACATGCGTACTTATACAGCAACAATATACCGTTATGCGTTGAGTTAGAAGTCAAGATGCCTATCAAACACTATTTACAAATGACAGTGTATTGTCCCTAGGCGGCTACGCTCCCGCTGTCAGCAATTGGCAGCAGAGGCAACATTAGCAAACAAAGCTGAAAACTGCAAATAAAGCACTAACACACCCACAAAAGTGCACATAATTTAAAAAGCTGGAATAAAAGTTGTTTAATGTTGATGTTCACGAACTAGTCCTTCACTGATTAGAGCTATGCTAACTAGTACTACAAGGTTATATAATCAAAAATTTGGATGAAAAATGCCTTGAGAAGTAAGAAGCTTTCAAAATAGCGCCACTTTACAGTTAAAAGTTGATTAAAATGGTATTAATACTTTTTACTAATTTTAAAGCTGAATTATAATCTCATGGGTGAGCTGCCACCATTAAAAATTTCAATATTTCTTATTAATAACCACAACTCTTTTTTTTTCGAAAAGCCACAAAAAATTAAAAATTGTTACACAGCGCCACCTAGTGTGAGCTTCAGCAAAAGAAAAATTATTACAAGTATTTTTTGCTTGATGTTTTTTCAAATAATGCCGCTAATTTTATGAAAATTTAAACAAATGCCAAATAGGCTAAAGGTCTTTGCAGAATTTTATTGCGATTGGTCTAAGCTTTTAATATATTTTGTCTAATTTAATAACTAGTTTTTAATCCAATTTAAAGTACCGCTATTAATTTTATATAKGTTTTAAACAGTCAATAAGTAATTTGAAAAATGTTGAGTAACTAGTTCATAACTAGTTAGGTAACCAGTGTGTAAATGCAATTTTGCCAAGTTTCGTTACTAATTTTATATACGTTGTAAACAGTTCAATAGGGGCTTTGTAAAATTTTGAGTAACTAGTTCATAACTAGTTAGGTAACCAGTGTGTAAAAGCAATTTTTCCAAGATTTGWTATAAATTTTATATACGTTTTAAGCATTTCAATAGGGGCCTTGTGAAATTTTGAGTAACTAGCTCGTAACTAGTTAGGTAACTAGTATTATAAATTAGAATTTTCAAGTTGCTTGATTAGTTACATATGTATATGTTTTAAACAGTTAATTAGCTATTTTGTAAAATKTTTAGTAACTTGTTTGCAACTAGTAACTTAATTAGTTAGTAAAGTGCATAGTAGTATGTAAAAAGCGGTTTGTTTTTAACTTGCCTAAATAGTTACGTTTAATTACTCACTTTGAAAAATTTTGAGTAACTAGTTCGTAACCAGTTCAGTAACTAATATTTTCAAAAACATACTAGCCAAACACTCAATTGCACCACTCTCAACAACTCAAAACCAATATATTTTACTGCCAGCAAACCAACACAGGCAACGGGTTTTTATAGCATAAAGTCAACTGCACAAATTGAAAGCATAGCATTAGGCGGCTTAACGTCAATAATGACAATGTTGACAATTTTAATTGAGTACGCGAAACGGTGTTGGCATAGCTGCTGGCATAATACCAACAAATGACGCTGTCATCTCTTTATAGCATGTTGTTGGTATTTCTTGGAGCATCCGTAAACAAGCACTAATGCAATTGACAAGTAAAGGCTCATGTGTGTGTGTGCTGCTGCTTTAATGGAAACGAACGTAAGAAAATGGGTGTGTAAGGATGGCTGTATGTGTGTGTGTATACGTACGTGTTGGCTGTGCGTCATTTCCCTCTGGTCATTAGCAATGCATACTTTGTGGCTGTTTTGAGCTGCCTACTTGCCTTCTGGTGTGTCCCTGACTGACAAACCACACACATACATACATACGTGTGTCAGGGGATACTTGCCAACGTCACTTATTGACAGTGCGGCGCCAATAGCGTCAACATTTCACATTTGTCACAATTCTCGACTCGCTCACTCCATTTTCTATGCATTTTTAATGCATGTATGTGTGTGTGTGTGTGTGTGAAAGAGTCAAGAGGCAAACTTCAATTACCAGCTATGCTGGTGCGACACTTGGTCACTCAACTCAACTCGACTCGACTAAGTTCAACACTTTTGACACACTGTAATTTGCCACAATTACTTGCGGCGTGATAAATGATGTGACAAGCAGCTGTCACTATGTTAGTTGCTTGTTATGTCTTCATTTGTTTTTATGTATGTGTAATGTATAATTTTCATTTTGTAGACTATCGCCTTCTACTACTGACTACATATTTGCCAGCTTCATTTGTTGGTCATAAATCAGTGAACACTTTCAGTGAAATTTTCTCACTCGCATTTGTCTTTACGCGCCTCTAGCTGCTGTCTTGTTAGTTCTAATAAAAAAAAAAACAACTTCTGTTTTTCTTTGCATATTTACAGGCACAATGACTGCCACATCACATAAATGGGACAAATTGTCGCCACGCGAGTTTCAACAGCTGCAAGAATTGGCGTCATGTAAGTAAATAATTTAGATGATTAGAAATGGTATACGTATGTATTAGAAATATTGCTAACACTTTTTATATACATTTTGAACTTTTATTACAAATATATTGTACATACATTGTGACAGAAAAGTAAGCGGAAGTTATAAATAAAACGCAAAATATTTAATAATTCTTCAATATTTCATTCAACCACTTTTAATAAACACTTTTTGRGATAACCTTAGGCTCCTTCAGCAAATTTGGTTTTATCTTTTCGCTCAAATGAAAAAAACGATCACACGGAGCCAAATGTATTGAATGCGGGCGTGGGTCAATGGTATTCATTGATTTTTGGCTTTGAATTCGATCACAATTATACTCTTTTCGAAAAAAAAAATTAGCTTTACCAGGACCATCCATCAAAATCATTCGAACAGGCTCGCAATAAATGTAGCTCTCTTGCCATCTCTCTAAAAACTTGCCTGACGATTTTCAAGCAGCATATGCTGCACTTTTTTAATATCAAAGGTCGTCCTGAACAAGGCATGTCTTCAACGATCTCTCGAACGTCTTGGAAGTAGGCTTGTGTTTTTGATAAAACTGCGTCATGTGTAGATACTACATGCTCGAATTAAGAGTTGTAGAAAATCACCTCTAAGACTAAACTAAGACAATTAGGAAAACCTTGCTGAAAAAACCGTCAGTTTGAGCTTGGCCATCATTTGTGCCAATTCACAGTGATTCGGTCACGGCAATTTCAAATTGACGTTGTTGTAAGTTTCTCACTTTCCATCAAAAGAAACCATCATTTCGACAAATGAATTGATTCTATTTACCGATAAATGTGGTATAAAGTTACCCGGAAGTTTGAAAATCTTTATATTAGATATATGGGGTTTCATGGAAGTATTTATCCGATTCAACCAATTTTTGATACACAGAGATATTACATATTATTGGGAAAAGAGCATTATTGAATTTCAATTGTATACCCCTTACATTGAGTGATAATTTCGGTCAAAAGTCAACTATAGACTACTGAGGTCCACAAATTCGCTACCAAGGGACTTGAACATTTTTAAATTGTAGAACTTATGCTCATAGGTGGCAGTAGTTGAGAGTAAGACATTATTCGTGAAAAGTTGCATTGCGTTATATTAATTCATTCTTGGTTTGTATACCGGAAAGTTAAAGAATCGTATGACTCTAGACCGATTTCACTCATTTTCAGATTAAAACACAGAAATTTTTTGGTGGAATACCACATACCAAGTTTTTGTTGAAATCGATAGGGCGGTACTCGAGATTTGTGAATCCCCTAACAGTGGGCGGTGCCACGCCCATGGTGCAATTTTGATCCCGGCTCCACTAACAGCTTCTTATACCATCTTGGGAGTAAGATTTAATGTCTTCGGAGTATTTCGTTATTAATTTTTCGGGCTTTTCGAAGTTTTGAACGGTATCGTTATGTGGGGAGTGAGGGGGGTTATCCTTCAATTTAATCCATTTTCATCCTTTCGGTAGGAGTTTTCATAATGCATCCATTAGCAAATTTTGTTGTTGTCGCTTCAGTGGCTTAGGAGATATTAACTGTAAAATTACTAGGGCATGGTGACTCCCACTTTTTCAAAAAATTTTGCCGATAGGTGCTCCTTGCCACTAAGATCCTCTGTGCCAAATTAGAGTTTTAAATCTTAATTTAGTGCATAATTATGGCACTTTTTATTAATTTTTCGGTTAATGGGGATTTGTGGGGATGGCAGTGTAACAAGCTTCATCAAGATATTTCAATTTTTACTCAAGTTAGAGCTTGCATGGACGGACGAAAATGCTTGAGCTAATAGTAAAATTACACCAGTATAGCCAGGGAATGATTACAGAAATGGTGGTACGTGCAACTGGCTGCAACATAAACTAACTTAATTTTTCACATAAGAAGTTAGAGTGCAGAGTTGCACAGAAACTGGCTAAAATTAACTGAATAATGGGTCTGATTAAAGGTAACATTCGAACAGCTACGTTCCTATTATTCCTGTTGACGCAATCTACAACTTTATGACTCTCTCTTCCTCTCCCTCTCTCTCTGATATACTAGAAATTAAACCGAATTCTCAAGAGATATTGAAGTACCTTTACCACAATCACGATTTTGTTACCATAGCAGGTTGAGCGGAACATAAAAGCTTAGAGAAAACCCCAATTACATGTCACTGATTAAGAGCTCTGTGAGCTTATTGTCAAATAAATGAGCATACGAAAAGAAAGAAGGAAACTACAAATTATAAAACTTTTAAGGTCTCGCAATTCCTTCAAAGAACTTCTCCAGCATAAAATTTCATTGTTTTTCACAYACAAAAGATTCTCTTGCTTTTAAATTTTGTATTAATTTCCTGTAATGCACATTACTCACGTGTCCATTAGGGTGTCCCAGCCAAACAGGACGATTTTTTTTTTCGAATTTACTTACGCATACCCGCGATTTGTTTTTACATTTGATCCTAATAACTCAAATAATAAATATTATTGCGATTGAATAACGGTAGCCCGTGCCGACTTGACGTTAAACTTGAAATATGAAAGTCTTGAGACTTGACGTTAAACTTGAAATATGAAAGTTAGTATGGAAGCTTTGTAGGGATTGTGGATTAAAATATTTATGTAGTCAATAATACACCGTTTTACATATATTTTATATTTATTGAGTATTTATAAATAACATTATATTATTATTTACTAAATTTTCTTTTCAAAGTTTTCTTTTTACAATCCGGATATATCTGTCTGTGTCCTTGAACGCAACGTAACAAAATTGCTTTTGTTCCTCATCGACTGTGATTAAGCCATGAAAGTCTTGCATTAACTTAATCGGTCTTTCAGCGGTATCGTTAACTGCTCTCAGTCTGTAAACCTTCTTTTTATCATATTGGAACGAAGCATTATTTGGCCATGTAGTTGGAGACTCATTAAGAAAGCTATCATCAACTATTTTAAGTCGATTGAATAAAGATTTGCTTTTCATTGAAACAAAGTCATGGACGTTTTTCTCTGAAATAAAATGCSATAGTTAACATAAAATAAAACAAATAAAAACTAAAATTATTGACTCTCATACTAACCGTAAAGTGGACCACAAAGTTCGTCTTTCGATGGTATGTAGCGTCTGTCTCTTATACACATCTAGATGTGTATAAGAGACAGGTGTGGCGTTTACCGTTGGCCGATGGATATTCTTTAGTGAAGTTAGCAACTATCTTTACTTTAGTTTCTTGGTCAACGTCATCGTCAAATAGAGGCAAGACAGACACTTCATCTGTCAAATACTATAAATGCTGGCAAAACTTTTGTAAAACTGCCTTTGAGATATTTTTATCGCCTTCATGGCTTTTAAAAAGCATAAGTCTTGGAATGGTGCTTTAACAGCTAAAATACATTCCAGAGAAGGCTTGACGTAGGATGTCACTATGAACAGGCAGACGTCTAACAAAGCTGCCTTATCCTTATTTAAAATTCGTAATTGAGAGCTAAGCAATGAAATTTTTAATGAATAAATTGCTCTTGCCATCCATCGGGCTTGGTGCATTGCCCCTGGAGGCCGGATTCTAATTTTGTTCTGTGTATCTCCGCCAAGAAATATTATTGATAGCTAAATTAATTCTCGATAAACATCTCTAGCGATTTCTTYAGTCAATTCAGCTTGRTAAAATGCTAATRGTTTATCAATTTCTGATCTACTCAGGCATGATAACTTTTCAGTACTGATCTGTATTGTCTGGGAATCGATATTGTTCCAGTTTTCTCGAAACTTTTTGAATA